TTTTTTTTTTTTTTCAAATAATTATTGCCAACATGTGCTCAAGTACAGATTTGAATATAAAATTTAACATTATGGAAGCGTGTGCAATGCTATTATGCATGTGGTTTTATGCCATTATATGTTCATCTCTGTCTCAAGAATGAGAAACACATGGTTCTGTGAAACATTAATACATTATTACTAATAACATAGCTGGAATATATTCTCTTTGTTTTCTTAATTCATCTCCGTTACATTCATATTATATACATAGCTGATGACAAGCAGATAGATTCAAGCAATTGAACATCTCCTCTCGAAAAACACATACCATACAAATCACCCTCTAAACGACTTTCTACCCCTGCAAATGGCGTCTTTCCACATTCGATCGAATAGTTTCCCATCTCAGTCACACCCGACTGCAAAAGACGTTGAAGGTCACTTGGAGAGGCTAAAGGCCTCACAAGACGCCTCAACATCTACCATTTGCAAAAACTTAGCTAGCCTTAGAGATTTACACGAGGGAATCAATGATATGGTCCAGAGGTCTTCAATCCAACAAGAGCTTGCCCTTCTACAAAACGAAAATTGGACAAATGAGTTGCTCGAGGGATCTCTAAGGCTAGTCGATCTCTGTGGGTTTTCAAGAGATGTTTTGTGTTTGACCAAGGAATCCATTCAAGAGCTTCAATCCTCCATTAGAAGACAAGCAGACGATGCCGATGCTTACGCGGTATCGAGAAAGAAAGTCAACAAGATGGTCAACAAATGCATCAAGAACATGAAGACCTCCAACCAAAATTCCTCACCAATTTCCCCCACTGGGAAAATCCTTAAAGAGGCCGAGTCACTTGACCTGTCAATTCTCAAGTCTTTACTGGTAGTCTTATCCGGGCAAAAGGATTCACCAACCAACAAAAGTTGGTCGACATTGCTTTCAAAGTTCACACAAAGTACAAACCGTGTACATTCTGAGGCCGACCGAGAAAGTGGTGACATGGATCTTTGTTCTTTGAGCATTCACAAATCAACGAAGAACATTGACAGAAGAACCATGTTGATGCAGTTAAGAGCATCCGAAATGATCGTTCAAGAAATCGAAGAGTGTGTAGAAGCCTTATTTAGAAGCTTGGTCAGAACTAGAGTTTCCCTTCTTAATGCTATTAGCCAATAGCTCGTTTGAGCTACGCTTGTACTCTTAATGGCAGCCATACATGCATGTCATATGTAAAACATAATTGCATAGATATAATTGATAATGATACGTACCCTCCGACAAATTTTTGCTATATCGATCTTTTGCTCTGTTTATATTTACTGGTGAATTTTTGAACTTAGGAGTTCAAGTTTCACTCAGAAATAATGATGGTGATAGTTTGATCCCTAATTACTATGTCTATAGAGATAGGCTGTTAAGATGCCATTGATCAATTAATGGATGATTATATTGATGATTATTTGTTTGAATGAGTTGTGATTGTTCCCATTCCATCCAAGTTTCATTTCCTTTCTTATCAAAGGGTGGTTTATAATATTTACTCTAATAATTTACTCTTTGGAGCTCTCGGATGGCTCGGCTTATGGAGCCATCCATAGTCATCCACAAATGGTGTACTGACACGTGTCCGTAGAAGAACTTCTTTCAGATTTCCACTTGTAATTTAGCTTGAGAAAAAAAAAATAAAAATAAATTAGTAAGTACATGGATTGGAAATATAAGTTTTCCACAAGGCAAAAGTGTGGAAGAGTTCTTGATTAGTATATATATATAAATTTTACAAGGAAATTAATGATTCTCTCTTAGACTTCTAATATATCAGACATAATATTTAATTTGCTCGATTCCAAGCAATGTTTTTGAAACATCATGTGTTATTGTGTAGGTAATCTTTAGCTTATTATGGGATTTTCTATTGATTAAGATGAAAAGTTTTCTATATCATGAACATATATATTGATTAATTTTGGAAAAAAATTCTGTGTGTACTTAAATAAGGTCTCTATTAAAAACTCTTCCATGGTGTTACCATTATATGGAACAAAGGAGATGCACTGAATTGTGTAGATAAATGAACTTTAGATAGAATCTACAATTGTACAGAGATTGTAGGAGCATTCACAAAAATTAGCTCGAAAGCCAAAACAGATCTAAAGGCTGAGAGCATTAAGGAGAGAGACTCTAGTTTTCACTAAACATGTGAACAAGGCATCCAAGCACTCTTCAACTTCTTGAATGGTCATTTCCGATGCTTTTAACTGCTTCAACAAGATTTTTCTGTCCACGTTTTTCACCGACTTGTCGATGTTCAACATACAAAGAACCTCAGCTTCACTTTCTTGCTTCATCTGAGAATCTACGCGTCTGGTTTGAGGAGTCATCTTTGAAAGCATTGCCAACCATCTTTTCTCGCCCGATGACTCCTTTTGCCCGGACAAGACCATCAATAGAGACTTGAGGATTGATAAATCAAGGGACTCTACTTCTTTTAGCATAGTCCCAATGGGTGAGACTAATGTTGTGTTTTTGTTTGAGGTCTTCAAGTTCTTCTCGATGCACTTGTTGACCATCTTGCTGATCTTTTTTCTTGACTCCACGTAATCACTAACATCATCTGATGTGGCCGTCTCGATTTTTTTCCTCCTGAGAGAGGACTCACGATTTTGTACAGACTCCTTTGTTAGTTGGACAATGTCTCTAGAAACACCACAAAAGTCGACTAGCCTTATAGATCCCTCGAGCAACTCGTTTATCCGATTTTGACCTTCTTCACGAGCGAGCTCATGTTGGATAGAAGGCATTTGGATCATGTTATTGATGCTGTCGTGTAAGTCTTTAAGGCTAGCCAAGTTTGCACAGATTGAAGAAGTTGATGCGGCTTGTGAGGACTTCAGCCTCTCCAAATGATCTTCAACATTGTTTACATTCGGGTGTGATTGAGACGGGAAACTGTTTGATCGAATGTGGAAAGACGCCATTTGTTATTTTCTATCAAAATGAACTACTTTCACTTTAGGGCTCAATGTATTTTTTGAAATGGTGAAAATATGTAGAGACAATCTTCTTGACACCACCTTTTTATATAAGCATTTAGAAGAAAACAAAAGGAATCATCATTACTGTAAATTGAAATAAAATATCATGGTGCATGTGTTGCATGTACTGAGCCTTTAACAATTGACATCCATTTTCTAATTTTATTTAATTCTGTGTTATTCGTGCAACATGGCTCATTGATGAGGCTGTGTCACAACTGTTTCCCGACAGAAAAATCTGGACATCATAGTAGATTGATCGTAATAGGCTTGGAGGCTCCGGATCTGGAGACAGTGACGAAATAAATATTAAGGCGCACACGAGTATACGACTGGACGTGTTGTGATGCTCTTGCGTTGTATTATGTTCATTAAAAAACATCACGTTTGTTCATTTTCTAATTCTATTCGTCTGGGCATGTTGATAAACAGGAAAAATTTGGCATTAAATTTAGTTGGGAAGAATGATCAACACATTACTAATAACATAGCTGGGAAAATTCCCCATGTTTCAATATCATTGTAGCTGAGATCTGTATAATTTGATCATTGCATTTTTTTCATGCAATTTTTTAATTTCGATGGACACAGTTGACACTACTCGTGCACGCTCACAATAATTTTGATGTCCAGAGGTTATAAGACACTATAGCTGGAATATATTCTCTCTGTTTTCTTAATTCATCTCCCTTATAAACATAGCTGATGACAAACAGATAGATTCAAGCACTTCAACATCTTCCCTCAAAAAACACATACCATACAAATCACCCTCTAAACGACTTTCTACCCCCTGCAAATGGCTTTTTTTTTCACGTTCGATCAAATAGTTTCCCATCTCAGTCACACCCGACTGCAAAAGCCGTTGAAGGTCACTTGGAGAGGCTTAAGTCCTCACAAGTCGCCTCAACATCTTCCATTTGCAAAAACTTAGCTAGCCTTAGAGATTTACATGAGGGCATTAACGATATGATTCAAACGCCTTCAATCCAACAAGAGCTTGCCCTTCTACAAAATCAAAATTGGACATTCTGAGGTCGACCGAGAAAGTGGTGACATGGATCTTTGTTCTTTGAGCATTCACAAACCAATGAAGAACATTGACAGCAAAACCATGTTGATGCAGTTAAGAGCATCCGAAATGATCGTTCAAGAAATCGAAGAGTGTGTAGAAGCCTTATTTAGAAGCTTGGTCAGGACTAGAGTTTCCCTTCTTAATGCTATTAGCCATTAGCTCGTTTGAGCTACCCTTGTAAAACATAATTACATAGATAAAATGGATAATGATACGTACCCTCCTCTAAATTTTTCATCATTTTGTGCATAAAGCCTTTGCTATATAGATCCTTACCTCTGCTTATATTACTGGTGAATTATAACTTTAAAGTGTTCAAGTTTCACTCAGAAATAACGATGGTGATTTTTGATCCCTAATTACTAGGTCTATATAGGCTGTTAAGAGATGCCATTTTTTCTTAATCATTGATCAATTAAGGGATGATTATATTGATCATTAATCGTTTGAATGAGTTGTGATTGATCCCATTGCTACTAAGTTCCACAAGGAAACCACAATTATCCAGTTTTTGCTGTAGCACAAATAGTATTAATAGCAAAAAAGAAATTATTCTTAATTAATGTGTGTTGATATCCGAGTTGGCCAGGAGTGGGCCGGGAAGACATCGCCTATCAAAACCCGGGCTTAGAACCCGGTCTGAAATAAAAGTGTCGAGTTGAATTGGGAAACAAAGTGCTCAGGATCTCTATGGGAGTGTTTTCTGAGGCCGGCACCCCGGCTCGTGTGTGAACGAGCCGGGGTGGATAAGTGCCGGGCTGAAGGAAGGATCCGGGATGCCGTATAAGCACATTCAGAAAAAGTGCCGACCTGAAGGTCGGCAGCGGCCACCCCAAAGGCCACATTAAAATATTTCCGCTTGGAAGATCATCATTAAACGATGGGACGGGTTATCATAGCCTGACACCCTACAAGCAAGCCTAATCAAGAAAATCTATCAGCATTAAATGCCCCCCATGCTGGCATTTAATGCCTGACAAACAATGATTGAAGAAACCTCAAATCGCATTAAATAGATGTCAGGGAGACGCCGAACTGCTCTGCAAGATTACTGTACGACAAGACTGATGAACAGTAGCTGAACAATACCACATTTAAGGATACTATAAATAGCAGCTCATTTCATTTATTTTGGGTTGTTGAATCTCAACTAACTGTCTTCTCTCTATTTTCTCTCCCTAAAAATTGTAAGGATTATCTTGTAAAGATTGAAAGTATATCGCAAGTGCTTACCTCGTACGAGAGGCTGACCTCGTGATCGTTTAATAAAATCGTAATTAAGCTATATCTTTCCTTTGTTTCCAGTCTTGCACTTTCACCATTTACCATTTTAACCGTTGACCGAAAACGTTCGTCAACAGTTTGGCGCTAGAAGGAGGGCACCATAAGTTATTTGGTGTCAATTATTCGATCTTGTGAAACCCCATATACACATCTCTTTTCGCTTTCCACTCACCTTGAACGTCGTCCGAAATGGCTTCATCCAGTCACGACGAGTCAACGCAGCAGTCCAACGCCCAATCCCGC